TAATTGCTTGTTAAAATCAAATAAATAGTTGTTTTAATCTCATTGCAAAGATGAATCATAAATCTCTAATTTTCCATGTTTCTGAGCACAGATGTGCTACAGAGAATATATCCCTACCCTCTGATTCTATAAGGCAGTTCTGTGCTTTTGATCTCAAGTAACTGCCTGTTATATTTATTGCCTCAGGTAGTAATCTATTCAATACCAGCCTTCTGAAGTAAGGAGCCCCAGTATTGTGATCTCATGCAAGATGTGGCCATCCTTCCCACAACCTGACTTCAATTTTTAGGACTCTGAAAAGTGAAAAGGAATATTTTGAACAGACCTGAGAATATTGGTAATATCAAACCAAAATAGAATGTTTAAATAAACAACATTTGACCAAAAGGCCATACTGAGTACACACATACCTTCTTCCCCCTCCCACCTAAAGTCCTTAGAATGATAGAAAATATACTTTTTAAATGATTTCATATATAGCATAAATAAAAAATGAGAGTGCTATTAGTCAACTAGAATATTTCAAGAATTATTGAAAAACAAACCATAACCGAGGGCATATGCAAGAGAGGAAAGCAATACCAGGGTTCTCAGGACTCAGCAAGAAAAGTACCTGGAACGTCATTAGGTTGATTGCCGATTGCTCAGAACAGTGAGCAGCAGGGGTTTACCTGGAAGCTGCAGCTAATGCAGTGAATATGTGCGCTCGGTCTGGAAAGGCAGCGCTCATGGCCCAAGTAGCCAGCAACACCCAGGAAGAATGGGAATCCCTTATTCCTAGAAGAACCTGCATAACCCATACACCGGTATGGATGGTCTATCCCCGAGAATCACCACACACAATATATAAATTGTGAACAGCGATATTTAAACACTAGGTGAGCAGAGAGATAATCACCAAACATCTGAGGACGCCATCAGCAGGATAAAGACAACAAAATCACCAAATAAAGAACTAACAGCTGAGAATTAAAAGTTTGCTTAGCAGAGCAAATATTTCAGCAAACATATGTACACTTAATACATTTAGAGAACTTCAAAAGTATATTTATACACAAAAATAGAAACAGTGATCTAGAATTTTAAATACGGTTGTCAAAAAATTTTAAGTTGTAATTTCGAAAGCTAAATGGAATAAAAACATAGCTAAAGAATGAATTCACACCCTGAAAGAGCAAACTAAAAGATTCTTCCAAACCATGATACAAAAGAACAAAGTAATGATAACACTCTACAAAAAACTTTAAAACATATAGATAATAAAAGTATAAATATCAACATCTATTACACTAGGTTTACAGAAGGAGAAACAAACACAGTGAAAGAAAGGAAATACTCAAGGGAATTACAGAAAAAAAAAACTTTCAGAGTTCAAAAAAGACACATAACTTTGGGCCTACTTAGAGTCCAACAGAATAAAAGAAAACATATATATATATACACATGAAGACAAATCATAATAGAGTTTCAGAACTCCAAAGAAAGGGAAAATACTAAACTTTCCATGGAGAAGTAAATAGGTGACCTATAAAGAAACAAGGTATTATATTTGTACCAAATTTCTTAGCAATAATTTATTCTTGAAGGCAGTGGAGCAATGCTTTGGAAGAACAGGACGGACATTTCCTTAATTCTAACACTTGACCTGACTAAATTTGTAATCAATTATAAGGGGGAAATAATAGCATACTCAGGAAAGCAAAGACTCAAGAAGTTTATTACCCTCACATCCTTTCTAAAGATAACCAGTAGAGAATATTCTGTTTTATACCAATAAAAACCTCAATGAAATGGATTATAAAATAACCAAAAACACTTCAAGAAGTAGTAGAAAATCTGGACAGAATTACTTTAGAAGAAACCCAGATGATTATATAGAAAAGTGATAGTAAACACTTCCCAAAACAGATAATCCTCATGAGCATAGAAAAAATTGGGAAATGCGAAAGTCTGCCCAACATATTCCTCAAGGCTAGAAAAATCATGACAGCAAAAACTGGACAAGGATAAGACAGAAAAAAATTGTAGTCTAATTTCACTCATTATATAAGTTCAAGAATAATTAGGTGAATCCTACAAAATAAAGCATTGTTATCAAATAGAATTTATCATAGAAATAAAAGGCTGATGGAACAGTAGGAAATTTATTGCAACGATTCAGTATAAGAAGTAGGTTAAAGCCCAGCCGGGCATGGCTCAGCGGTTGAGCATCCACCTAGGATCCAGGAGATCAGTGTTGGATTCCCGGTCAGGGCACATGCCTGGGTTGCGGGCTCCATCCCCAGTGGGGGGCCTGCGGGAGGCAGCTGATCAGACTCTCTCTCATCACTAATGTTTCCATCTCTCTCTCTCCCTCTCCCTTCCTCTCTCTGAAATCAATAAAGATATATATATATTTAAAAAGAAGTAGATTAAAGGAAGAAAATGATAAGATAACCTCAATTAATGCAAAGAATATTTAATAAAATGTAACCCCTATTATTGATTTAAGCAGTGATTAAATGCTTCTGCCACTCTGAAATTCTATCATCCACAATAAAAATAAGAAATCCATTTTTATTAGGACATCACCTACCATGACCCCTACTTTCAGAGGACAGCTACTGCTAATTTTCTAAAGAATTTTGGTATTGCCTGACCAATGTATTTCTCAAGGCCTCTTTGAAGAGAATGCTCTCTGGGACTTCTAGAGAAACATTAAAGAATGTGTGAGCAGGTTATACATAATTCCACTGCAACATTTCTATCCATCCAATTATTTCTATTCCTTCCTCTATAAAATATCAAAAAATTTCTGGTATCTCAACTTCATTTAATGTTGGCCACCACAAAGAACAGATTTCAATCAATCATCAGAGCAAGCTATTAGAACCATTCCCTGCTACATTGCATATTTGTAACTCCCATGTGGTTTGCTTTGTGGTTATTTGGTACCATCCTATGATTAGAAGGGAAACTCAGCTGAAAGACTGAAACATCTTTTACTTTTAAACATTTGCATCTGCTATAATATTTAGAACAGTATTTTGTATATACCAGATGTTAATAAATCTTTTTGTATTAACTTAATATTAATAAATAATAAAGGTTTGATCCACATCTGAAATGACAGAAATTAAACCTTTAAAATAGTTTTAAGAAATAAATATTTTTAATAATAAATTTTTATATATTCAACTTTATTTTAATGCAATGGACAAATTAGGAGACATTTGTTTTTCTCATTTAATTATATTTTAAGGCCTAAGCCAACCTTTTTTCTTCACTTGGGATCTTCCTATCTTCCAACAAGCTAAGGTCTTTGTCAGTGTCCTTGTTGCTATATAAGAGCCATAACATGCAGAGATACAGAGTGGAACCCTAGACACCTGGAAAAGTGAATGCCTAATTCCTTAATAACCACAACTGTGAGCTATGTAGCTGCCATTGTGTAACAGTACATTTTCCATTATCAGAAATAATGAACCAGATTTCCCCAGTACCCACTTGACTAGGGTAATACATTTGAGGCTTTGTGGTAGAAATTAATGATCTTAGTAGTACTCCAGTGGCCTGGAATCTTTAATGAACATCCCAAAACACTTTACCTAATGCTGAGAAGAGACATCAGCACTATGGGGAAAAAGAAGCCCATAATTACTTAGCTTTTTATTTAAATCATCTTACAAATTGTTTAGTCTATCTTTACATAATTTGAAGTGTAGACTTCCTTATTCCTGAACTTGTCTTGGTGTTAAGCACATTACATGTCTTGACACATATGGTTGCAGGGGTGGGAAAGAATATGTATTTTAAAAAGTATCCCTGTGCCCAGTAGCTCAAGTTCCATGTGAAAAATGAGTCTTTACTTTAGCAGAGCCAACTTATATGTCATTGGCCACCCACCCAGTTCTGGTCTATCAAATGCAAATAGAAAATTATAATGAGCATTTGAATGGGCTGGAGTTCTACAGATAAGAATTGGCTGTTTATTTAAAGTCATTTTACAAACTGCCTCTATCTTCAGAAAATTAGACTAGAAAACTTTCCTTCCCACGATGCCATTTCTTAACTTAGTTTTAAAGTCACAAGGCGGAATCTGATTCATACCATTAATGTCTCTTTGTTCTTGGTTCTATCGCTTTCACAAAAATGCTATAGGCAGTTCACTAGAATGACTAATTTACTGGAGAAGTTATCAGAGGCCAGTCAGCTGCAACTATAAAATAATTCAAGTAAGACAATAGTGCCTGCTAGCACTCCATGGCAAAGGTTCCTGCCTGAAACTATTGATTCACCCCAACACATTCATCCATGAAGTTAAAGATCTCATCTAGAATGTCCTGTTCATAATCAATCTGTCATTCCTGTTATAAATTAAGAAATAAAAATAGGAAAGATTTTATAAAGGTAAAACAAAGTCAAAATATTTTTTACACCACTCAACTGAATTTTGCATCACAAAATTTAAATATATCTATATTTAAATATGTTTTTATTGATTTCAGAGAGAGGAACGGAAAGGGAGAGAGAGAGAGAAACATCAACAATGAGAAAAAGTCATTGACCAGCTGCCTCCTGCTCGCCCCCTACTGGGGATCTATCCCACAACCCAGGCATGTGCCCTGACTGGGAATTGAACTGCCATCTCCTGGATCATAGGTCCATGCCCAACCACTGAGCCACACTGGCCAGGCACAAAATTTAAATACTGTTTATATTTTAATATTTAGGAGCAAATTGCTTTCCCTGAGTTAGTTTCAAAAGAGGTTATTTGTTGTATTTCTCCAGTAGGTGTGAAATATTTAAGAATTCATTTATATATGTTGAATTTTCCATTTTTAACTTCTAAAAACTGTTATTCATCATGAGCATAACAAGAAATATTAATAAGCTTAGGCTTAGAATATAATTATAATAAAATTCTAGAAATGATCCCATTTGCCATTACTAATACAGTGCTGTTACCAGATGTGCTTCCAATGGGTTCTGTCAGTAAACTACATTTAAAAATAACTTACCCAACGTCAATCGAGCTAGTGTCCTTCAAACATTTTGTAAATGATGTTATCCATATTGAAAAAGATAAAATGTTGTCTTCAACAATCATTCAATATTCAGAATTTCCTACAATATTAAAGGTAAATAACTGGAATTAAATTATGTAGTAGTTGTCAAAATGTTAGTATCCTTTCCCGAAAATTGCTACTCAAAACCAAATTAAGTAAACAGGTAATAAGACTATAATGTAAACATAAATAAAAGGATATGAAGATTAGAAAAGTGACATAATACAATGCTTCCTGTCTCAAAACTTTTAATATTGTTTGTTGCCCCTCCCATTAGTATAAAAGAACTCATGCCTTCAGGGTTGGGATGGGTTAAACAGGGGCAGTGAAAAGGGCTCAGAAATGTCAGCCCAAACATCAAAAGAGTAGAATTCCATCAAAGCCTTCATGGCCTGGGCCCAGTCCCCAAGTCCAGCCTCAGCTCTTAATCTTCCCCAAGTGCCCTTATTTTTTGTAAAAATATTGAACTATTTTAAATTCCCTAACATGACAGACCTTCTCCCATCCCCTTGTCTTTAGGAATAATGTTTCCTCTTCTCTGCTTCTGATAAATTTCTGTTTGTCTATGTTTTAGCCCAAATATAACTTCCTCTTGGAATCTTTCTCTTATTGCCCCAGACAACCTATCTTCTCTTTCCTTTATGTTCCCACCATGTGTTATACAGGTAAATGATCAGAAATGCTCTCATTTACTCATTTCACCACAATTGCAGGCTTATTTTCCTCCCCACTAAGCACTTTTTTTAAGAGCAAGAATATATCTGATTCATTTTTATATTCTTAACATTTATTATAGTGCCTGGCACACTGTGGATGATCAATAGATTTTTTTAAGATTAAAATGAGGGAATTAAAATAACAAAGTTATGAATTCTGCCTGAAATTTCATAAAGGATGTTTTGAAGCAGGAGATTAAAATTATATATAAATAGGGCATTTATGAGCATTTCTAAGTGGGGACTTCAAAATGGCAATTCTAGAAACAATAGGAGTTGTCATGAGACCAATCCAATAAAAGGAGATAATATGCAGATAGAAGAACTAGGACTCCATACTGATTCATAGGAGTTCTACTTTTTTTTTTTTTAATATGTTTTTATTGATTTTAGAGAAAGGAAGGAAAAGGGAGAGCAAGAAACATCAATGTGAGAAACATTGATCAGCTGCTCCCTGCACGCCCCCTACTGGTAATCGAGCCCACAACCCGGTCATGTGCCCTGATCGGGAATCGAACCAGTGACCTCTCAGTTCATGGGTCAACGCTCAACCACTGAGCCACACGGCCAGACAGTTCTGCTTTTTACAAATTTTAGAGGAGAGTAAGGGAGGAGAAAGAGTCAACTACAAAAGAGAGAAGAATGAAACCAAGTGAGTGTCCTGGAAGCCAAGTAAGGTCCTTCATGAGGGAGGGAATGGTCACCTCGGTGAAATAATGCTAAGTAGAGTAAAATGATGTACTAATTTTATGGACTGGACAACATGGAGGCTTTCAGTGATGCTGACAAGAGCAATTTGTTTCCAGTGGGGGGTGAAACTATAGTAGATAAGAGACTGAATGGGAGGTGAAGAAGTGCAGAGAGCACAACAGTTAAATGGTCTGAGAAGTTTGGTTGAGAACCGAGGAGAGAAATGGAAAGGGTCCAGCTGAAAGGGCTGTGGAGCCAAGAAAGAATTATTTTTAGCATGGAAGATATGAATGATCTATTAGAGAGGGAAAGATTGGTTTTGCAGAAGTTCACTCAAAGAGAAAAGATTATATTTGGGAGGAGATGGGATCCAGAGCACAGACAGGGCTTGCTGCTGTTCAGAGGAGATCTGCCTTATCTGTTAAACAAGGAGATGTGTGGAAGCAAGTGTACTCCTAGATATGGTAGCAGGAGGATGAGAGCTAATTTCATCCCAACTGTGTCATAATTAACCTTATTTTCTTTTGCTCATGCTGAAAGGGCACAGTTTACATCTGTGTCAGTCAGGACTAGCTATGTTTTGCAGGGGTAACAGACAATGGCAAAATCTCAATGACTAATAGTAACAAAAATGTGTCTCTCAGTCACACTACTATGACTAGCTGCAACTTGGCTCCACTTTGTCCTTTATCTGGAACTTTGCTGATTGTCATACAAAGGGAAGAGAAAATGCCCTCGCTCTTAAAGCTCCTGTCTGGAAGTGACACACTTCACTTCCGCTCATATTTCATTGGTCAAGCCACATCAGAAGGCCATGCCTGCTGTTAGGGCAGATATGTAACCTTCCTGTAGGAAGACACTGCAGAGAGAGCTACCCAACATGGGTAGAGAGTGATACAATTTACGACAAGTCTTATAGACAGTTCATTCATGTCTTTCAGTTAAAAAGTCTGAGGCAAAGCTAATATCCCCAGTCCAGTCATGGACCTTGTTTTTAATTCTGTGACTACCTATTCTCCATATCTATGCTCTCTAGACTAAAATGACTAAGAACGACTAGTGTATTTTAGAACCTTCACCTAAACTGTCATTCCAGCTGCGACTCTAGTCTTCCTTTTGGTAGGTGGTCACAGGTGATTTCTGCCATTCACTCATTCAATAAGTATTTACTACACGCTAGTTATGCCATAAAGGAAATTGTTATACTTTCCATATGATAAATGGGTAAAATATAATCTTTATGATAACATTCATGTGGCAGAATATCTCTTAGGTTTGAAATAACTATAGGAAACATTACATGTGAAATCTGAATGCTGGCTCTTAAGTTAAATTTTATGACAATTAAATAGATTTTCTCTTTCTTGGAGAAGAAATGCTTATGATAAATTCTATCCTTTGATATTGTGCCTGAATTGTGCCATTTTTATTCAAAACAGCATAACTAGTAGAAAAAAATTATCACGCAGTTAACCAGATGATTGCGTAGGATGCATACAGAGGGAAAACACTGTGAGATTAAGACTTGATCTGCTAAGGTTCAAAATGCAGACAGATAATTTTTAAGTTACAGAATTCAATGACAGATAGAAGAAAGCAAGGTTGAACTAGCTCATCTATAAATGAAGAAATATAAGGCTTCCAGAAGCCTTCCATAAATTAAAACACCCGCATTGGTAACTGACCAGCATAGCAATAAGATAGCAGAAATTTTTCTAGCAAACATTGTTTACCCTTTAAACAAAGTTCTTTATGGTATTTTCCTATATTTAAAATGATTCCTGTCCAGGGCATATTGCTACTTTGTATTCCTCTTGATATTTTCATTTAAAAGAGAGCTGCTGTGCAAAATAATGTCCTTGTCTGTCCCTTCCTCATACAAACCTCCAATCAAATTTAATAAAGCTAGTTTGATACAATGCCAGCCTACACTTGGTTTACCCTTGGTCGACTTTAATAGGGTCAAAAATATTTTCGCATTGGCAGTGTACGCATTAATCATTTTTCCAGAGGATTTAGAAAATTGGAAGAGACAAGGCCAAGCAAAATTTTAAATTAATTGGGCCTACCCCAGCCTTCCAGGGTCACCTTGTGGCAGTTGTCCCACATTTTCCAGGTCATGGAGTTCCTGTGTTTCCTACAGCTGCCATGAGGAGAGATCCATGCTGTGGGCACACAAAGGTGAAAGAATTTCCTCAGAAAGTGCGAATTTTCCTACGGCAACCACAACAATTGCAGTTTCCAGATTGTCGCCAGACACCAACCACTTAAATAATGCATGCTCGGCTGACGCCTCCACTTGTGCATTTTCTAATCGAGTAGTCAGGAAAATTTGCAAACACTCTGTCATTTACCATAAATCCGCTGCCTACTTATAACCACAGAGCAATTAATTTTAGTACTGCTCAGAATTATTAATTTCAGTCAGAAAAATCTGTTTTCACAATTGCTATACCCCCCATTTTTTCCCTCCACCAATATTTGTCAAAAAAAGATTGAAGCAGTTTTCTTATTCAAGAAGATTTGCTCAGAGTCGTGTTACTGAGAGTCTATGTGAGAGCAATAAGTGGACTCTATATTTCTGGTTCTAATCTACAGTGTCATGACCGCAGGTGTCTGACTGACTCACCTGATGAGGCCGGCAGCATAGAATAGAGGCTTTCCTGAAAGTAAGGCTATGTGGTCCTTAAGGCCTTGCTACGTGATAGGCAACCGCCCCATGGTTTGGTTCTGCTAATGCAAGGTAGCGAGGGGCTATTCCCTCTGCGCAGAAAACACTTTCAGCCTTATGGAAAATGAGGAAATATTTTTCACTTGTTTAAACAATTTTAGCATTTGACAGAAAAGAGAGTAAGAAACCTTACCAAGGATAAAAATACCTTGTAGTGGAATACACAATTATGAATACACTGGTATGAGAATCTCAGCAATCACGTGTATATCTAACATACACAGAATGAAAATTGAGCATTAAATATGGTACATTTTATTTGGTAAAGCTAAATCTGGCACTCTCTTACTTGATATTAGTTTCCTGCTAAAGCAGCTGCATAATATGTCACCAGACTGTCCATATTATAAATATGTAATGAGCATGAGAAAATTGGTACAGCTTTGTTTGACTAATGGCAGCTCTCTCCCTGTTAGTAGCAGGAACACATAGCTAGCACAAGTATTGGCACTTTAATTGCCATGGAAGATTTCGTTTCCGCTTTCCACTGCATGAGTGATCAAGAAAAAAAATGAAGGGAAAGTAAACTAACATCTAGAGATGTAAACATGACTCACTGGGAAATCAGACATGGTTAAGTGAATTCCAGGATGTTTGTGGTTATCTGGGTCTAAACACTGCTGATCGTTCTGGCTACTCTTGTTTTTAACTGTTTTTCTTCTGGGTGGTTCCCAGTCCAAGCACATTCTTATAAAGATCGTCAACCTTTTCTATGAACAGCCGGATTGTTGTATATGGCAAGGAAGAGATATCAGTCAGAATTAATGAAATTACCTAGTAGAGTGCAAAATGCTCCTGCCAAGACCGTGATCTAGTACAAAAACTAATGATTTAAGAGCGGAGTTGAGAAAACTTGACATTATCACCACCTCTGTACTGTATCACTTCTTTGCAGTACAGTAGGGTCGTTCTGAGATGATGTTATATTTGTTAAAATTTGAAATTTGATCTCTAAAAAGAGATCAAGTCACAGACACATAAAAGATCATAAACATAGAGAGAATTTGTCAGAAGAAGAATTTTTCAAATGAGGTAAGTTGCTTGAACTTCTGAATACTTGGGAACCCTGAGGCACTGGACACACACTCTTCAGGAAAGCTGAGAAGAGCCTAGAACCTTAGCAGTCAGTGTGTGGTCCAGGCTCAAGAGGCCCTGCTGCACCTGGAAAGCTGTTAGAAACACAGATGCTCAAGCCCCACCCAGACCCACTAAATCAGAATCTCATGTTAACAAGACCCTGGAGGTTCACGTGCACTTTAAAGTTCAAGAAGCACTGGTCTAAAACAAAGCCATGGAAGGTAAGGAAAGTTTACAGATTATTACACAAGTCATTGTCGAGAATCAGCTTTTCAGCTCTCTTTCAAGTAACTAATTGCATTTCAGGTCTACACTTCTTTCCACCCGGAGTTTTTCACACACAATAATAATGTTGTTCCAGACAGGATACAATGAACACATCTTCAATAAACTTACTTGTATTTCACATCAAGGGTGGGCCCACTTGAAAGAAGGGAAGTATTGTATACTTAAAAGTCAAGCAAAGGGAAAGAAAAACTAACATCTCCACAGTGCTGTTAAAGTTTCTGGGTTTATATTCACGGACTTTCTCATGTCCTCTGATCTTGCCTCTTGTTTAAAGTGGTAGATGTGGCAAACATGCCTTTGGAGCTGGCATCTTTTATCTTCTTGGTTACAAGGCAAATCCCTAAATACTCCCAAACCGTGAAACAAAACCAAGTTTTTTTGTGTGTTTTTTTCAATCCTTTAATTTCCTGGGCTATGATAAAGGTTCATTTTAAAAAGAAAGAAAGAAACATTTTTTTTATCACTGTGATAAATAATTCATACATTGTGTAATTCAGAAAAAGAACAGAGTTCAACCCCCATCAATTAGTCATTACAATCTACTGACTTGTACAATAATATCAGCAGTGTTTCTGGCATAAAACATTAGGGAGCTATGCCCAGGATATGGAGTTAGGATACAGGACTTATCAAAAGACATGCTTTTTTGCTCGAAATATTTGCTACTAAATTGAGCCACCATTGAGATGCTGTTTTTTTCAATATTACTCTTCTCTATTAATCACAAACATTTAAACTTAAATTCATATTTGGTTCAAAGCTGCACTGTGCTGATCCTCACTGTATTTTGACAGCAAACTGAATTCCTGTTCACAAGTATAGGATCTGTTTAGCTGCAGGCATCTGTGTTTGGATTACAAGAATGCTGATTGGTTCACTGCCAGGGGCACCCAAAGGTCAAGCTGTCCTTTTAAAAGTGTCTCTCTCTCTCTCCCTCTCTCTCTCTCTCATCTCATTAATCAGAGTTAAAAGATAGAGGAAAGGGCAATGACTGCAAATCACTTAATTCTTTTTCAAGGATATTTTTAAAAGCGGAATTCAGTGTTGGTGTGAGGTCAAGTCAATGTGAGTACAGATCACACTGGCACACTTCTGACAGGTGACCTGAAACCTTTCAAACTGACATCTGTCACAGAGACAGACACAAGTTTTTTAGCCCAAGAGCTTGTTTTCCTGACATTTCATTTTTCATCAGATTTTGAGAGAAAGGAAAAAAGATGAACTTGAAAAAGTCTTGCCAGGGGCAGAAAATAAGATCAGGTTTTTCTGCAGCTGCCTGACTCACCTTTAAAGGTTAGAGGTCTAGCAAAAGTGAACAAAAAAGATCTCAGTTTGATGTTATTGGATAAAAAGGACATGTTATTACTTTAAATACATTTCTGAGACTTGCATAACCATTAGGCAGTATTACAGGAGAAATAGAATCAGAGTGAGATTACATATCCATTTTAAATCCCAATTTTAGAGTTTAGTCATGGAGTAAATCAAATCTAACCTCATCTATTCATCTGGTACAAAAGTGAAATCCACAGGTGCATGAATTTTCTCATGAATTGAATAATTTCCTGCTCCTATGGTATTGAAATGGCCAGTGAAATTTAGACAAGGTACTGAAATTCTTACTTTGGACTAGAGATATTTCTACATTACAATACTTACTTGGTTTATCTTGGCTAAAGAACATTAGGAAAATATATGCTATTTGGGTAATAGAAAGAGTCTAAAAATACCTAGGTTATAATCTTGGCTCTACTAAAAGTGTGATCTCGGCCAAGTGACATTTCTATTTCAGTTTTATCACCTGTAAAATGGGGGGAATTATATCTACCTTGTGGACTTCCAGTGAGAACAAAATAGGATAATATATTCGTAGATTGCCAAATATAAAACAGTAGATCGATGAGTGGGAACCGTATTATGCTCATCTTTTTTTATTTATTCCAGTGCTTAACACAGTACTTGACTTGAAATTAGCATTCAATAAGTGGCTCTTGATTAGAAATGAAAGGTAGTACTTTCCTTACTATCAGAAAGCCATTTTTTTTTTTTTAACTGAGTCCAGGAAACTTTTCTATGAGGAACAGCAAGGTTGAAGGTTGGGAAATGTATTCCTATAGATTATCTCCAAATACAGATAGATATAAGAGCAATAACTTTGTAATTCACTAAGAGACTAAGCACATATTAGACCATATAATTTTCAAGCTCAAGGAACTAGGCAAATCAAACTTACTGGGACAGAATTATCCATATTTTCCAAAATAATGGCTCACATATTACTAACTGGCCAGCATTCCCCTGAGTATCAAACGAGGAGTTTTCAGCCATAATGCTGATCTTAGTGTAGAATCTGAAAAGGTACAGAACTTACTAGCTAAGTAATAGGAGCTAAATATCTTGGATCTGGCCAACTAATTGTAAAAATCAAGAACATCTCGAGAAGTACACCATCAGAGCGGTCTTAAAATTCTATTTTTATATCCTCTTGACAACCTTTCTCCACAAAGACAGAACATTGCAGAATATATCTTACACATTTATATTTAATATATCTGCTTATTATTAAACTGTTCAATAGGCTAAGTAGAAAGTATAGAACAAGGTTAAGACCCTCAGGCCTGAAAATTCAGGTCTGACATCTACTCCTATAAGTAAATTGGGGTCCAGAGCTTAATTGATAATCCTACCTTTTAATCTTATTTTTTATTCTACCTTTTAGCATACTTTACACTAACACATATAACTATATGAAAGGAATGTGTGTTTTGTGTCAGAGAAATCTAGCAGTATATATTTCAGAATACGAAGCAATAAAAACATAGTGTTTGTCTGCTTCTTATTTTAGATATCCAGTTTCCGTTCTTCATTTAAGTAGAATCATAGTCATCATACTACATGTTTAAATTCCTGGTTTTTAAAAGAGACTCCAAAAAAATAGTAAAAATAGGCCTGGCTAGTGCAGCTCAGTTGGTTGGGCGTTGTCCTGGGCACCAAGGNCGCTGGCCAGACGGTGTGTGCTAATTTTATCATGAATGAAAATGTAATAAAGCCCTGGC